GGGTGTGTCTATTCTGTTCATGTGCTGTGTGTCCCGTATACTCATCTCTGTTAGCACTGCCTGTATCCAAGTTCGCCTGTTGTGTAGTGGGAGGGTTTCAAGTCCTGTTCCCATGGTAACGGTTTTTCGTTGCGGTAAGATTCTTGTTGGCGTGTGTTTGGTGGGTGGTCTTTGTAGTAGGGTGTGTCTATTCTGTTTATGTGCTGTGGGTCCCTTCTTCTCATCGCAGTTGATCGACCATAGCACTGCCTGTCGCAAAACACCTCAAACGCAAGTACACACACAAGCTGTCGTGTCAGTATAATATAGTACCGAACCATGGATTTATCATCCACACAGTTACAGTGTCGTCAGCGTCTGTGCTACATTTGTCTGGATGTATAGTTGTATTTAGGGGTGTACTTTGAGTCGTTAAAAAATCCGTATCCGCCAAATATGATTATTCTCAATTCGTAAACGCCTTGTATACATGTACAGGTCATCTTGGCCCTAGGCGACTACATGCAGGTACAATGCCACGCCTGTATCGGTGGTACGTCAATCGGGGAAGACATACGTAAACTAGATTACGGACAACACGTGGTCAGTGGCACACCCGGACGTGTGTTCGACATGATCAAAAGACGTAATTTACGTACTCGTGCTCTTAAGATGCTGATTCTGGATGAGGCCGATGAGATGCTGAGTATGGGCTTCAGCGAGCAGATCTACGATGTGTACCGATACTTGCCCCCAGCTACACAGGTGTGTGTATATAGTTTAAGTTGCAAGTGTACATATAATCCTGTACATATTCATGTGTATTTTCTTAATCATATGCATGTTTATGTTTATTAATAAATACTTGTATTCCTATGCCTAGCCATTATTACACGAATGTATATATCTAGTCATATTTGTTTGCATGTGCAGTGATAAATTTACGTATGTGTATGTATATAGTCGTGTCTATTCACACGATTGTCCATTCGCATTCTGGGGACTCATTTGTCAGCTGAAGTTTACGCACTGCAAATTTTATAGTCACAAAGATTTGCACGGAAACAACAAACACATGTATATATGTACTATGAACGAAATACCGATCTTTTACTCGCATATGCAATGATAAAGTCACACCCATACCTCTGTATAGTGAACCATGCATATTCACACACATATACATACTTCGTCACACTTCCACACAGGTTTGTATCTTCTCTGCGACCTTACCCCACGACATCTTAGACATGACCAACAAGTTTATGACCGAGCCCATCCGCATTCTGGTCAAGCGTGATGAGTTGACACTCGAGGGCATTAAACAGTTCTTTGTCGCCGTGGAGAAGGAGGAGTGGAAGTTCGATACTCTGTGCGATCTCTACGATACGTTAACTATCACACAGGTATGTGTACACATGTATATATACGATTGTCCCTGAACATGTATTCATGTATATCATTTATATATATATATGTATAGCGAATCCGTGTATTCATGAAACACCCCGTTGTTCAACTTCATTAAATGACATACACTCTGCATATGCCACAGGCCGTTATTTTCTGCAATACAAAGCGAAAGGTTGATTGGCTCACCGAGAAAATGCGCGAGGCTAACTTTACGGTCACAGCGATGCACGGAGACATGCCCCAGAAGGAGCGTGACGCAATTATGGCCGAATTCAGGTATGGTCTCTACGGGGGTGTATACATATAGGGGCTGAGGTTGCATAGAGTTTGTGCACCTGTATTAAGAGTTTGGGTTTACTTACGTATATATATATGTATATGTATGCATGTATGTTTATATATATATAGTTGTGTGTGAGTGTGTGAGTGAAAATTGTACTGGAATTGTGTATCTTCAGCAGAGTGTGGTTGTCTATGGTCAGTATATACCTCTCCAGCCCTAATTGAAGTCCACCGTCTCCTTGCTACCGTTTTCTCTCTTAAAACTGTTCTTTCTTTCCCTTCCACACGCTGTCAATATCAATACACAAAAAACACACAAATCCGCGCATATCCGAATATCACTGACCCCATTCTCGTATCTATTTATAGGTCCGGCGCGTCTCGCGTGCTGATTTCGACTGATGTGTGGGCGCGGGGTATTGATGTGCAGCAGGTGTCTCTGGTCATTAACTACGATCTACCCAACAACCGTGAACTCTACATCCATCGGTACGTGCGTGTGTTGAGACGTTTAGGGGGGTGGGGGTGACATAGGAATTGATGGGGTTGTATTTGTCTATTTATAGTTTGTATATGGATGATTTAACGGCTATTATACGGTTTATAGAATGAATTTGGATGCGATTACAGGTGAGTGGGATTGTTTTTTGTCTATTTATAGCTTGGATATGGATGATTTCAGGGTAATCTCACTATTTATAGAATAAACATGGGTACGATTCTAGGGGAATGAGATTGCATGTGCCTATTTATAGGAGGAGTTTATATATTTAAAGGGTTATCCTTCATTTAAAAAAATGAATATAGATGTCATTACGTTTGTTGAGTTGTAGATTGAACATGAGTCGGATCATAAGAAGGAACATGAGTTTATATTTAGAATTTCTCTCTCTCTGTTTCTAAAATGAATGGGAAGGTATTTTTTTTTTGTCTATTTATAGCATATACTTGAGGGGTGGATAGGGAATGTCTTTCTGTCTATAGCATGGCGGTATATACAAAGGTGAACTTTGCATCCATTAGCGTGACGCCTGCTATCTACATTAAGACCATGCATCTGTCTTTTTATAGACTGACACTCAATTTATCGATTTGCTTCAATCTTATTTTTATATCTAGCCAAAGGTAAATCATAATTTGGCTTTTTTTCAGTTTTTAAAATCCGTGGTATTTGGCCCTCACCGTTTATTTTGGCTTCCTATTTATTTCACAGAATTGGTCGTTCAGGTCGATTCGGGCGCAAGGGTGTGGCCATCAACTTTGTCACCAACGAAGATGTGCACACACTGCGTGATATCGAACAGTACTACAGCACACAGATAGATGAGATGCCTATGAATGGTAGGTGGCAGCAGACACGTGTGTATGTGGGTATATGCATGTATGTGCTTATGTGTGTGTATGCATTTATGTGCTTATGTGTGTATATGCATGTATGTGTGTATGTGTGTATGCATTTATGTGCTTATGTGTGTATATGCATGTATGTGTGTATGCGCTTAAGTGTGTATATGCATGTATGTGTGTATGTGCTTATGTGTGTATGCGCTTAAGTGTGTATGTGTGTATATGCATGTAAGTGCTTATGTGTGTGGGCGTACACGTGTACTTGTATTTGATATGTTCGTATAAATTCGTACCGTACAGCTGTCCTCATTTATTTTAAAATCCGTATATGTACGCATACACGCGTTTATATACAGGTACATTCATGCACTGGTGGTAGCCACCACGCGTGTACCCATATGCATGCATACCTATACATTGCTATGCGTATCTTCGACTCGTTAGTTTATACCAAATCGTTAAACTTCTCAAATCACTCACTGTGTATTGTTTTTATCTCTATCACAGTGGCGGATCTTATCTAAGCCGCCAACCCCCCCCCCCCCCCCATGTCGTACTGGAATGTGCTCCGAGATGTCAGGCAGAGCCAATAGCACGCCCCGCGAGTATTATATAAATAGATTTTTGTAGTCGAAGGGTATCGAAGTATAGTATAGATTGGGAGACGACGACCACGTGTGCGATAAAAAGGTCATATTCCGGGTGGGATAGTGTGGACATATATCGAGTCGGCATTAACGGTTATCTGGGATCTGTGCTATTTATAGATGGGGTGGATCTGTGCTATCTATAGATGGGATGCGTGCTATTGCGCTATATACGAAGATTAAGCTTGGCATTGTACAGGTTTTAAAGATGGCTGCAATGTGCCAACCAACCTGTACTTACACCCACCTGACAGCAGAAGACAGAGACTTGTCTGTATATGTTCATGTGTATCTACTCGCATGCGTATAACCGTATATGCGTATATGCACGTGGATACCTGTACATTACATCATGTGTTCCTACCACCACATAACCAAATACACATACCCAGACACAGACACAGACACACCCTCGGGACACATTTGCAAGCATGCACAACATATCATGCGTGTAGCAGTGCTGAGGTACACCTGCCTACTTGAATCAATAAAGTATATCTAAAACCAACGTCTTGTTGAGTTCCAATGTCTGTTTGCGTACAACGAGTCCATGTATTTGACGTTCATTTAGAGTCCAAGCTATTACCCAAAACCAAGGATCCCAGGACCAAGTATTGGATATGTATGGCAAGAGCAAGGTATGAGGAATTATATACAACTATTCCGGGTGTGTGAAATATATTCGGTATTTCAAGGCCAAGTATTTGATGGGTATAGCACGAGCAAAGTATGAGATATTTTTATTCAACCATTCCATGTGTAAAAGATAGCTTCACGATTATATATTGATATATATTTACGCATAGTTATTGACATATATTGTACCTCGAGATGTCAATACTATATCCTTCAGCGCGCCGCACAGAGTTGGTACGGCAACACTAAAGAAGCGTTTTATAAATAGATACTCGTGTACTGTTATAAATAGCTACGCAAATGTATTCCCCGACCGTCATCTACACCATACATTTGAGTACGTATTCCGTCTCGACTATACAAATACGTGCTCGTGGTCTGCGAATAAAATAATCAACATTTCTGTTTATTGTACACATGTGTACGTATTGATGAATGTTTATGATACAGATGTATTATATGTGTATGTGTGTATATAATTGCATGTGGATGTGCGTATCAAATACATATGAACCCAATACGCATTATAAGTAAACTCGAGCTCCCTCACTGTGCATACGCCGGTTTCTCCATGTTTTCACATACACAAATGCAACGTGTACTAAGTAGTGTGTATGTACACGTACTATGCCATGCATGTGTATATGCACAAGATCGCATACGTAATACCACTGATACTGGTAGAACGCATCCTTTATTGTGTTCGCAAAGTGTGGGCAACTCTGATCCAAACACCTAGGGACCCTGGCTTCCTGACCCCTGACCCACACTTTGCATTCCCCGACCGTCAACTACACCATACATTTGAGTACGTATTCCGTCTCGACTATACAAATACGTGCTCGTGGTCTGCGAATAAAATAATCAACATTTCTGTTTATTGTACACACGTGTACGTATTGATGAATGTTTATGATACAGATGTATTATATGTGTATGTGTGTATATAATTGCATGTGGATGTGCGTATCAAATACATATGAACCCAATACGCATTATAAGTAAACTCGAGCTCCCTCACTGTGCATACGCCAGTTTCTCCATGTTTTCACATACACAAATGCAACGTGTACTAAGTAGTGTGTATGTACACGTACTATGTCATGCATGTGTATATGCACAAGATCGCATACGTAATACCACTGATACTGGTGGAATGCATCCTTTATTGTGTTCGCAAAGTGTGGGCAACTCTGATCCAAACACCTAGGGACCCTGGCTTCCTGACCCCTGACCCACACTTTGCCCGGCAGCAGAATACATTTTCTGCGTTTACTTCGCGCTTCTTTGGTTTCCCTCACCCTTCTCTTGGTGTACGTTATCCGTATTTGTGGTACGTATTTAGTATACGTATTGTGTGTATGTGTAGGATATACATATACTGTATGTTAACATTCACGGATAATACCATTACACGTGTATATATCGCACGCACACTGCATGTAACGTGCACGTGTATATATCAAACGTGCTATAAATAGCACCGTACGTACCTAGCCTCCATACCACCCCACCAGTACGCCCCTGTGATCATGCTATTCGACCAAGAGCGAACACTTGTAGTGCTAAAAATAGCACACATGCCCTGCTATAATTAGCACACGTGTAGTTCTATAAATATATTTTCGCCCGCGTACCGTGACCGTGCTGCGTACTGGGCAGCAGGTATACAGAGCGTTCGTTGCAAGCACTATACACTCCTCCGCTATACGCAACTACCTGTATACACCGGTATATACACAACTATCTTTATGTACCGGTAGAAGCTCTGTATATACCGGTACATACACAACTATCTGTATGTACCGGTATAAGCTGTGTATATACCGGTATGTGCAGCTTATAACGGGACTGCTTCAGTATCCATGGTATACATATATGGACTGACGATGACTGAATGCTATCTGCTTCCTCATACTCCCGCACTCGCCATACTGGGTGCGGCATTGATAGAGCCCTTTCTGTCCATGCCCATACCAGCAAAGGGCAGGATCCCATTCTGCTGGGTGGACTTCGCCTGTGGGTGGGATGGGGTTAGGCATAGTGTTTGTATAGGTGGTTGTGTTGGTATGAGGGCTGGACAGAGTAAGGTGCCTAGACAAGTCATCGACCTGGTACGAGGCTACAGAGATGTCGGTGAGAGGTTATACATACTCAAACACGTGTTTATACATAAGCACACATTTGTTATGTATATACATACAAGTTCTTAATATGTGTATTTATACATATAAATGCTATATTCATCAACATACAAATGCAACATAAAAGCCCATACTTGCATACATACAGATACATGAATATATTGTGTAGATATCTGTGATATGCCCATCAATATACATAAGCGATCTCTGCCTTGCAACAAGTAGGCATATGTATCCAATACTTCCAATATTCACATACAATCAGTTCCGGCTTCCTTGGTGCCTTGATAGGGACCCATTTCTCACCACGCACAGCACTCAGTAGGTAAACAGATGAGGTGCATAGAAAGAAGAACCCGGCATATGTCGTGGCGAGTTCGAAGAAGCATGGGACCGAGACTCTATTTGGTATTTGGATATAAACATGCGTTAGTAGTGTTTACATGTAAACTTGTCGGTATCAGTGTACATTGAAAGGTGTTTCCATTTGTAATCACTTGGATGGCGAATATCCAAGTTCAAATAAACTTGGCATTCAGTATTAAACACAGCCACACAGTCAGGGTATGTCGCTCCCATATACACGTTAAATTTTACAGCAAATATGGCTGCCAAAGACTTCTTGTTTACGAAGCTAGCAATCACTCTGTTTATATGCGAAACCCAGTATTTTGTGCTCTACTTCCGACGTATCGCTATGGTTGTCCTTGTTAAATCTACAGTGGTTGCATGCAAATGTGTACATAACATAGGATGTAAACCAACGGATCAGCCTACAAAAATCTACCGTGCACACTAGCGAAACACACGCACCAGTTGTATATATATATATATATATATATATATATGTATGTATATATATATGTATATATGTATATATGTATATATGTATATATATTATATATATATATATATATATATATATACTCCTCTGAACCTGCACTTACAATAGGTATAGGACAAATCGGAAGTAGTAATTGGATCCGAAAAAGCCCATATTGCTGACCATATTGCTGATTTTGCCCTGAAATCGGCGTGGGAATGTGCGACCGCGCTTCATCTTTCCCCTAGGCCATTCGTATACGTATATAAATGGAGACACCGCCAGACCGTATATACCCGTCCAGAAATTGGGGAAAGACATTGAGAGCACAATTATACCACCGAGCACCAGCACTGTATTGCAATATAGCGCACGGAAAGCGAGGTTCTGTTAGATACAGAATATTTTATTCGATACGGGATGTTTTCTTATATGCATGTTACCGAGTTGCAGGGGCGAGGCAGCTTCCAATCTCATTCGTGAAGAAGCGAAACATATGTCTGCACTAGTATAGAACACGATTGCTTTCGTAGTGAAGGTCCTATCACGCACAAGTTGGCATTTGTTGGGTTTGCACAGCGTTGGGTTAGTCGTGTTTTAGTTATGTACGTATTGGCGTCACGTGCCGTATCGTGCACTCCAAGTATGTACTCGCTTCAAGGGGTCTGCAATGCGCGATCTTGCGTGCAAGTATCTTTCCACTTTCCAGAATATGTGATTGCAAATATTTATTTTTTAGCTTGAATCTACTGAGGTGCAAGTTGTTTCTAAGCTCGTATATATAGGAATCGATATAAGCCTTAAAATCTACAAGCCAACCAGTAGATGTCGTATTTAGCCACAGGTTGGGGTGATTTCGACATGAATGCTATCTTGCTAATGACAATACTTGATATGGAAATGAAATATTGTGCAGATCATAGACGGTATACACTTACTTGCGCAGGAACTCAATGCCATGAAGTTTGCCCAAAGGGACCATTCTGTTGCTTTGCCCATCGTAGGAGATATTAATGTTATGCTGTTGTGTTGGCAGTTGGCTTCAGATCGTGATGATCGACTACCAGATTTATGTAGGGTTTGTGCGAAGGAAAGCCAATACGTATTGACAATGGCAAAATGGCAGGGGTAAAATCGACTACTTGTTTTTTATGTATTGATGGGGGTCTGCATGATATAATAAATAATGTCGACGATATGCAAAGAATATTTATATTTACAATCGGCCGAATAGACGCTAGGCTTGTAAACTTTGGATAAAAACATTACAAAGTTGCTCATTACCCGTTATGAAATCTGTTCTTGTCCCTCTGAAATCAGTGCTTGGATCGTCTTTATACACTTCTACAGCTTCTGCTGTTATTTGTTTTTAAACGTTGGACAGAAAACTTCACACTGCATTATTAATTAAGTTCAACGCACCGCCACGGCGCCACCCAACGAGAGTTACAATTTAAATATATATAAAAGACAGTGATGTTTTTGCTATAATTTACAGAAAACGACCCACAACGACAGCGACCACTTTGCCCTAAACCACGCATCTACAATTAAAAAGAATTAAAAGCAGTAACGTGAAGAACTTGTGAGACAAGCAGGGTACCAGCAGACAGCTACTAGAGAGGACACAAATAAATACATAAACACATCGAGGGAGCAATCAAATTCACGAGCACGGCATCAACCACTGTACCATTAATTTTTGATTCGCACCTTTGTTGACGGGACAAAAAACTCCCAGCAACACTCCATCTCGCCCATAGTCCAGTGGCCACAGCTGTATGTATAAAAATAGAACTACATATAGATGATATACTTTTTAGAAAGTATAATACTATCCTGCAATCCCGCATTTTTGTATATAAAAGATTTCCTTCCTGTGAATCGATTTTTTTATGGAAACTTGTTAGTCGACGAGTTGTCGTCTTGTTGGACTCATACTTCAATCTTTTTTATAAAAACAAATACAACAGTTCTATAACATTGGTCGGCTTTTAAAACAAATACCACGCGTCTCTCGGTTCTCCATAATGGTTTTATTTTTATTTTTATTGAACAGTCACAATAAACAACTCCGAGATATTGACATGATCCTATTGAACAGTTTCATAGTAACGACCAATAGAAACTTTCATATCCGTATCGCATACTCTTAGAATTCTCATAGACCGATAACAGATCAAAATCAATTATCATTGGTGCTTTCTAGTTTTTAGGATTACTATCGATCGCAGAATGAACCAGCAGGCAGCAAATCAACAAGCGATTAATTAGATTTGTTTATTTCGATTTTGATTTGATACTGGCTCTCGCACCGATCTATTTTTTTTGGTTCACTGCTATTTTTATTTCAATAAATCGGGTCTTGGACTCTTGTCTCTTGGACCTCGCGGATTTTCTGTTTTCTGACTTTTCTCTCACCCTTCTTGATGAGACTTGAGACTGGAGACTCCAAACTCAGAGTCTTCGAGTCTTGTGCCGAAATTCAGAGCGACAGAGCCTGAGAGGCTGAGAGCCGGAGACGCTCACATTGCCCAATGTGATCGGCTCGATAATCTATAGTAGTATGTAGAGTTTAAAAAAATCATTTCAAGAAAAGGGCAAGTGATGAATTGTTGCCGCCCACTGAATGCTCCTTCTTGTGTGAAGTGCGAGTTCAGGTTTTCGAAGAACTCTGAAAGAAGGAATTGAAGTTTACACCAGCCAAACTATGTAGGAGACTGTATAAACCTCAAAATTGTGAAACGATCGCATCGGTGACAGATGATTGCAACGTGAACACGCCAAAGACTTCGGACTACGGAAAATAAAACATTTCGAAAGGATTTATCACAATATGGTTGTATGTGCGTTGCTCAGAACCGCAGGTATTAAATATACGTACTTTAGCTTCTTCAAATTTCAGTTCTGTGCATAAAGTGTTTGTCACACTTTCTTGCAACAGTGAATCGACGGTATTAACAAGCTCAATAAATCCACTTATAGTCATAATGATGAAACGTATGGAATCGCTCAAACAAGCTCTGATTAATGATGGGCTCATTTATGGTTTTTTTGCCTTGTGGATGGGTGCAAACATTGGGCTGTTTGTATATACATTCTGGCTGTTCGAGACAGCCGACATCCATGTGTTGATGGTAGCATGTATGGGCTCATCTTTGTCACTCGCCAAAGCATCGGCCGCAACCTTGAATTTAAATTCAGCATTGATCCTGCTACCAGTGTGTCGTAATCTGGTGTCATACCTTCGAGGCGCGGTAATATTCCGTGGCGGACTACTGCGACTTTTAGATAAGAATATCAGTTTCCACAAGTGGTGCGGGTATATGATCATGCTACACTCTATCATTCACACGGTAGCGCATATGTACAATGGTCTCAATTTTCAACGAGCGTCTGAGGACCCCAACTTTGTCCCCTGCACGGACTATTTTGTACCAGGCACACCCATACCATACTACTTCAGCATGCTATACTCAGCTGCAGGCATCACAGGAATGGTTATGTGTATAGTACTCTTCTTGATGATGAACGCATCATTCGAATACCTCCGCAAGACTAACTTTGAGGTGTTCTGGTACACACATCATCTATTCATCGTGTATTACATTGGCATCATTACACACGCACTCTCCGGCCTAGTACAGACAGTTAACCCCGATGGCAGCTTCACGAAGGCTGGTCTCACGGCGTGGCAGTGGGTCATTGGCCCGCTTGTGATTTATGGTATTGAGAGAATTACTCGACTGTTCCGCAGTACACAACGGGTGGTTGTTGCAAAGGTGGTGCAACACCCGTCCAATGTAGTCGAGATACAAATGCTCAAGAAAGGCTTCAAGGCCACCGCCGGACAGTACATCTTCATTCAGGTACCTACTCTATCGTCTTTTGAGTGGCATCCTTTCACACTCACCTCATCGCCCGAGGAGAGTTTCTTCTCAGTGCACATCCGTGTGGCTGGTGACTGGACAACATCCCTAGCTGAGCGCCTGGGCTGTCACTGGGACGCCAAAGGTAACCAGATTGTGAAATCTGGGTACAAAGGGAATCCGTCCAAGATGCCCACATTCAATGTAGACGGTCCGTTCGGTACAGCCACTTCAGGAGACGCGTTCAAGTATTCTACGGCCATCCTGGTGGGTGCTGGAATTGGGGTGACGCCCTTTGCGTCTGTGCTGAAGAGTATCTGGTACCAACAGGCCCAGGGATTGAACATGAAGTTGAGGAAAGTGTACTTTATATGGATTTGCCGTGATCGCCGAAGCTTCGAGTGGTTCCAGGATCTGATCGAGGCCTTGGAGTTGCAGATGGTGTCCCAGGGCATGCAGGCGTTCTTACAGATCGATGTGTACCTGACTGAGAGGATCAAACATGAAGAGATTACAAATATAGTCACGGAGGGAGATGCCAGGTATGTAGTTTTATCATCAGTTGTTATGTTATTGTGCCGAACACTGTATCATTACATGTGAGCGCTGCCGACTACAAATTATCGAGTGATACGATCATACGTCTAAAATAGCGCAAACGCCATCACACTATGTGAATGTCTGATACCAACGATGCACTACTAGGATATTATGGAGATGCGTGTTATAAGCACGCATTCGTTTTATGTTGTGTGATCGGTGTACAAAATTAAGCCAACCGAGACCTCCGGAGGCGTAGCGTACAGCTTTACATCACTGCCATCGTATTATAACAACTCCAGTCCCTGCATTAACAACATCAAATCGACAATCATATGCCGATGGCATGCGTAATACATTGCAAGATAGATTGACATGTAGTTTACCTGGGTGTCCAGAGACTATTCACGCGCTATTGATTTGTATACAACTATTTGTTAAGATTGAGTGAAACCAGCTTGTACATCTGTATATATGAACCAAATTAACATCCTCTTTTTACTAAATACATAGTGAGGACCTTCTCCATGGACAGCACACCAAAACACACTTTGGACGGCCGCACTGGGACAAGATCTTTGCGGAGACAAGTACCAAGCACGCCAACGAACAAGTAGGAGTGTTCTTCTGTGGACCCAAAGTCCTGGGCAAGGTGCTGCACACGAAGTGCAATGAGTACAGTGACAAGATCCAACACGGCGGTGCACGGTATATCTTCAACGAGGAGGTATTCTAAACATGGATAGACTATTTAATCTGACTTAAATATATCATGTACATACAGAGAAAGTGTGGCTGTGGCGTCCAAGTATGGCGTTTGTGGTGCTGATGTAGTACACGGGCGATAATCGGCGAGTGCATACGATAGAAGATCGCCCAAACCCCGTGCAAGTGATCAGTTCCAACGTTTACGCTCTCTAGACGAACTTTCTCTGATACAACACCAGAACGTGAATACGCAGTGGGGACTTCGAAGTGCACTGCTAGTGTATACCCACATACCGTCGCATAATCCACAGTATGCTAATTGATAACGCGGAGGAATAGTATAAGAAGCCCATTTACGCTGGTAGGGAATTGACTTCCTCGGCAACACAAGTAACCGACACGCTATGAGAGCCGAAAGAATCACGAGCATAGTAGCCTACACACACTCCACAGATCAGCCCATGACTACTATAGCAACCTGAGTGAAGCGACTTAGGTGTAGAATACCAAATATAGCAATGTATATTGACCTTCAGCGCCGGTCGTTCACACAAAGCTCAGTGCGAAGCTGCCGGGCATAGACTTGCCACCAGAGAAGAATTATACCCCAGAGAGGGAAGAATCAGATAAATTTCAATCGAATAAAGCACATACTGAATCTCCACCTGTATTCAAAAATTGTAACGCAGTGTCTATAATATATTTACACACAAAAAGGTGTATAACATGCACATATACAAGATAAGGACAGCGTGTTTCTGAATAAAAAAAGAATTTGAACCCCCAGAAAATCGTCGTGCTCCGAATGAATTCATATATATATATAAATATATATTTTACATTTACATATATATATTGTATTTACATATATATATTGTATCAGATTATTGGATTATTGGATTATTATATTCTTATATATTGTTACATTATAATATAATATATATATATATATAATAGCGATGAATTATACCTGAGAGATTGTTTGTACTGGAACAAATCAAATCAAATGGAGAAGCAAAAAAAGATGACAAAGGGACATTTGCACGTTGTACAAGTGCGCGTGGGTTGTATTAGTGCATGTGAACCATCTGATATAGTCTCTGATTCTTGCTGCCTGAAGGTGTTTATATAGCAGGATCGCTTTATTGTTCAATCGATGGTATTGCGAAAGGCGATTCAGAAAATGGTATAAATATAAACGTTGTTCTTGTCTTCTTTCTCTACTACTATGTAGAGAGAGAGAGCGCGAGAGAGAGAGGGTCATAGTGTATGTATCAGCTATTTATTTCTTGTGCGCGAGTCGACCCTTCCAACCCCAATTTAAAAGTAGACGTTGAATTTTTATTCGGTTATGTTCAACGTATACGCAAACTGATATAACGCGTCAATAATGGTTTGTTGAGTCCTGAGAACCCTGGGAATCTATAAATAGAATGTATGCAAAAGTATCTTGGATGGCGTCCAATGGAATCCATTCACCATTTGTTTGCAACAGTAGAATTTTGTATTATTTTGAGGTTGAAGGAAGTTCTTGTTGTTTAGTTCATACGCGAGTATATTCGTGTATATTCATGCAAATTGCACCCGTTGCGTACGCAGACCGACACAAGGATGGGGAATGGTGTGTACTTGCTGTGTACTTCTTATTCCATATACATATCATATATAACCACGCACGTTTCCATACATATTTAATATAAACACACACACCATACAGTTCATGATATCTTAGCATCGCAATTCAATCTCAACCTCACAAGATACCACACACACTGGTCTTCAAGTGTGTGAGTAAGTCATGTCCGATAAACTATGGCAAGCAGTCTTCAACAAAGACATCGGTGCAGTTGAGCGTCTCTGTAAAGAGGGCGTCTCGCTAGATACGCTTAATTGGCACAATCCAGCGATCAAAAATTGGACATGTCTTCACATCGCTGCGTCTACGGGACAAGTAGAGATACTGCGATTGCTGGTCAATGCTGGTGCGGATCTGCATCCGAAGTCCAAGAATGGGTCCAGGCCTTTACATTTTGCCGCGTTGAGTCTTAAGTAAGTGAATTGATATGTTATATGGTTTGTGTAGGTGAAACTATGTTCATATTTATTCAGCAATGTGATTATTTCTTCTGTGTGCATATCCTTGTATATGTGTACATATATGCTTTGTCGAATACACTCTGATATTTCTAGTTGTATATAAAGGTAGCGGCCACAGAATGATACAAGAGTATGTAGAACTATATTCATTATCTAAAAATTGGGTGCTTTATCGTATGATTAATCCAAAATGATTTTGCATGCTTACACTGGATTTGAAAACTCGTGTTCTATTTGTATGCTATGATTACCGCGATCACTGAATACGCATTGTGGATCATCCACATGCAGCATCCATCTAGTATCAAACAAGCAATAGACACTTGTGTACACAAACACACATAACATAATATATATATGTATAAGAATATGTATCTGCATTTGTATACGTCCATGCATGATATATATGTATATATATATATATATATATATATATATATATATATATATATATATATATATATATATATATATATATAGTGTGTGTGTGTGTGTGTGTGTATATATATATACTA